GTTTGATTATGGTTCAAGTAGGATCCTTGAATAATATATTCTAAATTTAGGGAATATGATTCCTAGTTGGGAGAAGGTAGGAAATTTTTGAAATTCGCCCACCCATTCCGCAACCTTTATGGCATCCATTGGATGGATCCTACCATTCTTTCAAAACCATCATAAAGCAGACACAAAGTTCATTCTGGTGAATAGTTAATGCACATAATCAAGGGCGTGAATGATAACCCAAAACACCATTTTTAATGACAACCACTATAGACAGCTAGACAAAGGAAACTAGGGAAGGCTATAGTAATCGATGTAAGCCTGTTGGTTAGGGATGCAACTTGGGTGGGCCCAACCCAAGCCTAAACCGGTCCAGCCTGAAGTTTTACATGGGTTGGGCTTAGATTTTTTATCCTCGGGCTGGACTTGGGCCCAAGAAGTCAGGCTTTTTAATTTTTTGGGCTGGGCCTAGGCCTAGCCTTTAAGTAGCCCGAACCCGGCCCAACTATACACATTCATACATACATTCTATTTTTTGTATTTTTCCTATTTTTTTAAATATAAAAAAGTGATCATTATCATCAATAAAGTTGTACACTATTACCATGTCATCAATAAAGCTTTACACTATTATTAGTATATTATATTATTAAAGAAAGAGAGAGAGAGAGAGAAAGAAATATTAATTATTAAAGAGAAAGAGAGAATTACGAGTGTAGGAGAAAGAGAGAGAAATGTTACATTATTAAAGAAAGAGAGAATTAAGATTGTGTTAATGAGAGAGAGGGAGAAAGAAATATGATATTATTAAGAGATAGAGAATTAAGAGTTTGTTAATTAATGAGAGATAGAGATGTTGAATAGTTTATTAACCCCCTAGGCTGAGTTTGGAAGGAGTACAAATGAAAATATGTAGAGTGCAAAATCTTATATTTTGTATTATTTTGTATGTATTTACGTTGTACATATTTGCATTTCTACTGCTTCTAAATTGAGCCCTAGGGAATGGAGTTTTCATTCAAGAGAGCAATAACGCAATATGTTATGTTATTAGAGAGAGAGAGAGAGAGAGAGAGAGATTGGGTATTTTAGGCCCCCTTAGAGAATGGAATGTAAAGAAACTCATGACAAAAGTTCTAATAAACTATTAACAGAATATTAGTAAAATAATAGTACTATAATAAAATATTAATAAATTAATAACAAGAAACAAAGATATGGATTTTTAAATATTATAATGTATAAATATTTTATTTATACATTGTAAAGTAATAATAATATTAATAATATAATAATATTTGAGTAATAATATAATATAATTAAAATTAATATAATATAATTATTAAGTAATAAAATTAATAATGATACAATATAATTGAAGTAATAATAGTATATGTCAACAGAATATTGATAAACTAGTAAGAAAATAAAACATAATAAAATAATAAAATATTGAAGTAATAATAAATTAACAATTCCACATGAAACTAAACAACAACAATCAAAATCCAATTCCGGTTCCCAACTGAACCAAACATGCATTAGGAATAGGTAATTCTGATTCCGATTCAGATTCCAATTTCGTTTTCCGATTCCAATCCTGTTTTTAAATATTATAATAATTATTAATAAAACTTAGTAAAATTTAAAAATAGATTTATCTTACAATAGTTAATAAAAGTTAAAATCAAACTTAATAAATATTAATTAAGAAATTTGTTGCTTTATGTTTTATTGTTTAACCGCAACCTATTAAAGATTGGATCCGATTCGGATATTTGACTTTCCCTAATGAATTCAAATTTGAATCACCATATGTGAGATCTGACTGGATCTTCGAGTCAGATCGGACCTGGATATGCCCTATATATAATAAGACATGTAGTGTAGCATGGCTATACTTTCTCACTACCATTTATCTATTTGGTTTCCTTTAAATTCTAAATAAAATCATTTCAATTTCACTTACAAATCAAACTTAATAAACACTAATAAAAATAAGAAATTTAAACTCTGATTACGAAATTTGTTAGCCTAGCAAGGACCCTTGTGATGCATGGAATTTATCAATAAAAAGTGAAATAATAGAAACTGGTAACTATTATAAGGAATGAATGCCATATTGTTTTAAATAATTAACCTTTATTTTATTAATGCTATGATTTAGTAATTCTGATTAATTATATAAATAATTTTTAACAAAGATAACAAATTATCGCTAATGATTAAATGTTTTAGTTTTTTTACTTTATTAATAAATTATTGTTCTATTTTATTTATTTTACTTTATTAATGATTAAATGTTTTAATTTTCTATAAATGTTACTTAAATATATAAAATACTTAAATATAAACAAATATACAAAGTTATGTTATAGTCATAATTAAATTAATATAAGCTCGAGATCAAGGTTTAAGACTTCAGGTTGGGTTTTTATTAATTTCAGCTATTAGGTTTCAAATTATAGTTTTCTGACAAATAACCAATTAATAAGATTTGAATAAGAATAGGGATGGAAATACTGTTCCCCACTCTATTGGGTACTCAACATTAGGTCGAGGATGGAGATTGCCTTGATAGGGACAACAATTGATAGTGATACATACCCAACCGAGGATAGGGACGAAGATGGAGGAGTGAATTCCTCCCCCCGTCCTAACCCCCAATTATATATATAATATTATTTATTATATTATATATATATATATATCAAAATTTTAATTTAAATATATTTATGAAAATAGTTTAAAAATTCTAGAGATTTAGGTTCCCGACAAAGAACCCGTCTCTGTTAGGAATTGGGGATGGAGGGTCATATTAACGAGGATTGGGGTCAATGACAGGGATTTGTTTCAAAGTAAGGATCGACAATAGGGAGTATGGCCCCTACCCCGTTGCCATAGTTTTATAATTAACATGGGTGAGCCCCTATCCCAAGCCCAAACTAGCTTGAGATATTTTATGTTTTTGGTTCATTATGCTACAAAATGAGGGTAGTTCAATCCCCATAGTTCCTTCGGGTTTAATATTAATAATTTTTATTTAAAAATAGTTTAAAACCAAAAAATAATGCATGCGTGGGTTGTGTTTAAATTTGATTCAATCTAATTACAAATTTCATATTGCTCTTAGGGGTACAACTTAAGGAATTGAGTTAGGTTGAGGATCAACCAAAGCCTAACCTAAAGTCTTAAACCTTGAATTTATGCTTAGATTAATTTAATTATGACTAAAAAATTTATCTATAAATTAATTTAATTATTAATGAAGTAATCTTTATTTAATTATTAATACTTTTTGTTAAAAATTATTAATATAATTAATTTAAATTACTAAGTTATTCTTTTAACAAATTACTAAAATTATTAATATAATTATCAGTTTCCATTTTCACTTTCCCTTCATAAATCGCCGTATACCAAAGGATATGGTCATTGGTCATGATCGGACTGTAACACGTAAGAACTAAAGATGGGAACACATCTGCTACGTTGGGACACAGGCGGCCAGGAATCTACGGAGATTCCGCACCCCAGGAATCTAGATACAGCGACTACCACAGAATCTAAATTCACTGAACGCATTTCGATCCTACGGTTGAATCATTACCATACAAATTTGTCATTTTCAATCCTACTGAAATGTTGGTATTGTCCACACAAAATATTCTAGATCTGTGATAAAGGGTGGATCTTTAAGACTTACTAGAAAATAAGTTTGTATACTCGGCAGTTTTATTGTTCATTTCCATCGAATAAAATGGAGGGCCAAGGACGAGAGCCATACGAAACCTACAAGGGTGGGAGTGATCGATCATTCTCCTTCTCGTAGTCTCGTTCGTTTGACGTTAGCGTTTTCTGCAGGGCAAGGAGCGACTGTTCCACTAATATGGCTGTCGGTGTCCTTGCGCTCCAGGGGTCTTTTAACGAACACATAGCAGGTCTTCCTCTCTCCGCTGTTTGCATGTCACTTGCAGAGCTAAATACGTTCGCGGTTCGCCTACTTGAATCTGCATCCCATCTTTGATCCCTTAACTTTTGGTTTTGCTACGCAGCGCTCAGAAGGATCGGAGTTAAAGGGGTGGAGATAAGGAAGCCCGAGCAGCTCCAGAACGTAGATGCTCTTATAATTCCTGGAGGGGAGAGCACTACCATGGCCAAGCTCGCAGAATACCATAACCTTGTTAGCTATCTATCCCTCCTCCATTCTTTTGGCTATTCATTCCATATTGCTTTTACTTTTTACTTCTGGGTTCAAAGCTTTTGCTTTGATACTCTATTTGCACCAATGCCTACTACAAGGGTACTCGGTGAGCCACATGCGGCGAAGTCGAATCCAAGGAGAAGATTTTAGATTCTTCCTTGTACTCTTCTTGATGTATTTAACTTTGTATGCTTGTTTTGTTCAGCCCTTCAATGTAATGAAGAAAAAGTAACATATTTACTAAACAAGTTGCTCGATAAAATCGGTTATTATTGTTGCTTGGTAGAACTCTGCGAAAGAAAAATGAAAGATCGATCCTTTCCTCTGTTGTATGCAGTTTCCTGCCTTAAAAGAATTTGTCAAAATGGGGAAACCCGTGTGGGGAACCTGTGCGGGGCTCATTTTCTTGGCAAACAAGGCCATCGGTTGGTGATTGTTATTGTATTCTTAACATGGAAAAGAAAGAAAATTCACCAACTTATTTGAAATTGAGACCTGAAATTTTCTTTTCAGGACAGAAAGAAGGAGGGCAGGAGCTCATTGGAGGGCTAGATTGTACCGTCCATCGGAATTTCTTTGGCAGCCAGGTAAGTGTACTGTGTACGAGAGCTCTAAATTTCTTATTCATTGTTTGTATTTATTTCTCCTCTTTTTTTTTTTTTGAAAAAGGTAAGGTATTGTATTAAACCGCGAAAAGAAAGAAGATATACAATCAGCCCCAATTCCCTGTACAATGAGAAACTGTACTTAAGGAAACTGCAAAAAACTCAAAACACAACTACTAAGCCTTTAGGCATTTACAGATAAAACTATCCAAAGATAAACTCTGTCAAAAAAAAAAAAAGAAATTGTATGTCTAGATTTAAAAGTGAATGATTAGCCAACCACGAATACATCATGCCCATAATATTTTTAAGGACTTCCTCCTTTGAAATGTGATGCCCCTCGAATATTCTCTGATTCCTTTCACGCCAAACTGCCCAAAATACAGCTGCAGGAATAGTGTTCCAAGCAACTTTTCCAGCCTCACTTAGACCCTTTAGCCACCAAGCAAACAAAAAACTCTTCACATCAGAAGGAAAACACACCTTTGCCCCGAACAGTTCCAGCATTTTCCCCCAAATCCAGTGGGTGAGCTCACAGTGGATCAGCAGATGATTAGAGGTTTCTGTGCTTTTATTGCAGAAGACACACCTTTCATCCTGTACTTGAATGCCCCTTCTAACTAGGTTTTCTCTAGTCTGAATTCTGTCTAACACTGCTGACCACACAAAAAAAGACACTTTTGAAGGGACATTCCTTATCCAAATCTTCTTGTCCGGGAAAACAGAAAACTCTACCTTGTCAGGCTGTTATAGAAAGATTTGACAGAGAAAATTCCTGAGTTTTCAAATCTCCATTTTCTTTTGTCCTCCAAAGCTCCATTCAATCTGACATTGTATAAAGTCTGCAGCAAACTTAGGAGAGATTTTACCTCCCAATCATTCAGGTTCCTACGCAATTGAGAATTCCACACACAGACTCCATTCTGCATTTCCAAATAATCTTCCACTGTTACATTCTTGTCCACTGCTATTTCGAACAGATCAGAATATCTGTCCTTGAGAGGGCCATCTTCGCACCAAAAACCCTTCCAGAATAGAACTCTTTGACCATTCCCAACCTCGTATTTTATTCCTTGTACAAACTGTGATTCAATTTTTTGAATTGCCTTCCAGATTGAGCAACCATACAAGGATCTAGAGTTACCAGTCTCCCAATCTCTTGCTGCCGGCCCATACTTGGCTACAATTAGCCTCCTCCACAAACTGTTCGGTTGATCATTAAACCTCCAGCGCCATTTTCCTGGTATTTATTTCTCCTCTTTTCTCATTTTGACAAAGATAGGCCACAAAATGGACAATTCAGGATTGAAATCATGTAGGAAATAGGTAAATAAAACCAGAGTTCTAACTTTCTACATAGGTTTTATGGAACAGAAAGCATGAATTCCATTTCCTTTTTTAGTTATTTCTTCTTACTTGTTATCTTAAGCAAGTAAAATCAGAGGGACCAATTCATTTGGAAACTTACTCCAGTAATCCATTGGTACCCCATTCTGTTCTTTTCACCAACTGCTTCTGCACTATTTCAACTCTAATCTAAAACAAAGACAATATTTTTTCCCTGCAGATTCAGAGCTTTGAGGCAGAGCTGCCAGTACCAGAACTTGCAGCCAAGGAAGGTGGTCATGAAAGTTTTCGTGGAGTTTTTATTCGTGCTCCAGCAATCCTGGAAGCTGGGCCAGAAGTCGAAGTCTTAGCTGATTATCCAGTTCCAGCCAAAAAACTGACAGACTCAAAGTTTGCTGCTGGAAACCAGCAGGTTTGTCCTTTCTGTTACTTCCAAGTTTATTTCAATGCAAATTGGATTTGCTGGCTGCTATGGTGCAGTCACAAGCTGGTTCTACACTTCTACTCTTCCATCTACAATGTCACTGCTTCTCTGTGATTATCTTCTCAAACTAGATTTGTTGGAATGGACCTGGGATTTTCTTATATTGTCCTGTTGTTGATAATTGGGATCGAGCATTGGACTTCCTGTTGCTCTTGATCATTCTTAATACAGCATAACCTTGTACACACAAACATGTGCACATGGACACAGCCACATTTCTGTATGTGTGCATTTATGTGTATGATCACAGCCACACCTGTGTTTCTACTTGTTTTGTTGTTCTTCCATGATATGCGGACTAGGAATGGGCCCTGTTTCACCCCCCAAATTCTAGGTACTAGGACATGGCTAAAATGGGTACTGGTGCATGGACATCTGGAATTGCAGAACAAATAAACAAATTCGAAGTAATCAAGCAAATTATTTCTATTACAATTAATTGCACTCTCTTATTTTGAGCCAACAGAGAGAACGCGAAAACAAAGTGAAAAACTTTACAGATCTACAATGCTTTATATTAGAGAAAGGCTTCCATATGTTCTCATCTCTTTTCCTTTGCAATTGAAGGGGATTCATCGAATGCAATTGAATGGAGTAAAAGAATTGATCTAGGCCTTGGGTGTTTGCTCATTACCTCAATTTCATTGAGGTAGATCTTATGGTCCATTTAAGTCCAAATAGGTAAATCTGAAAATGCATGACCTTAATTGTGACTGGCTTGTACAGGAAAGGCTCTTTTTTGCTTAGATTGATGTTATCTAGCTTTGGTTTTGTGAACCTGGATAAGATTTATGTGGAAAAATAAAAGGTTGGGCAAAAAAAAAAAAAAGGTTGGGCTTGAGTGGTGTGCAAAAGAGGGTGTTTTTCGCTATTGAAGGTTTAGACATTAAGTATTTATACAAATTAAATTCTATATATGTGCAACAATATTTGTTTAATATCTATAGTAAAGGATTATTTCCTCTTGTCTAAATGTACAAGTATGCCAGAACCTTAGTGTTTATTTTATGTTATTATAATATAACATATAAAAAATTAACCATGGAATATCTGATAGAACAATATGCTATATAAGTTATCATTGTAAAACTGTGTACTATTTAGAGTAGTGTACTTCTAAAAGAAAAAAGAAAACATTTAGTTTTATGGAAATACGTAGGAATCATGAATAGTTTGTAAGGAGTACAGTCTCAGTTTGGGAAGAGTGCAAATACAAATATGTATAGTACAGATACAAGGTTTAGAAATACCACATAAAAGGTTTTGCCCTGTACATATTTGTATTTGTACTCTTCCCAAGCTGAGACTAAAGTATTATACTGAATCAAGCAGCCAAGCTCCTGGCATTATTCGAGGCAGATATGAAGAATGTGTAGATTATTGAATTCATGATTGGGTACACATACATGGAGTGATAGGTATGGTTGTCAAGACATTGTTGGCTAATGAAGAAGAATTGGCCTGTCTCTTCTCTGCTTTGTAGCAAGATGCCCTTTTTATTTTTAAATGGGATTTCTGTTAGTTTCTTTCTGTATGATTTAACTAATCTGGAATAAAAAAGTTCAGAGGGGTCAGATTACAGAACACCATATTGTTGGAAATTAACTTAAAGCATTATGTTTTAATTATTCTACCATTTTTTAGAAGATATAACTCTCATTTATACATGTACAAGTTTTCTGATTGCACCATTGTGGTCTTTGACTGATGCTATGCTTGTGGTATCGGGACTGTATAATTGTTTGTTTTGATCTCGAGATTTCCATACTTCAGGAGACAACTGAATCCAAAGGGAAAGTGATAGTAGCTGTCAGGCAAGGGAACTTGCTTGGAACTGCTTTCCACCCTGAGTTGACTGCAGACACTCGATGGTATATATTGCATATACTGAGTAATTAATCTTAAGTGCTACTCCCACACATTTCATATCTCATTTGTAGTCCTTAATTCTTGCTTGTCTAGGCATAGTTATTTCTTGAAGATGATGGGAAAAAGTGGACAACAAAATGGTAGCAAAGAGGAGGATCTCAGTGACAATCAACAACTAAGGACTGACCTCCCTATATTTCAATAGTATCAAAGTGGAACCGAATGGTTGTCTTTCTTTGCATATTTAACCTTGTTATAACATTCCATAGTTGCTTCTTTCTTTGATAGGTATAGATATGTTGCATTAAAATGCCAGTTTCTCATAAATTAAAACCATAGCAGGGCATTTGAAAATCTCTTGGTAATATTGGTCGGTTTCAGCAGCGAATAGAGATTCTGATATCATCAATAAATTGCTTGGGCCCTCCGACCTCCTTGTGAGTGCACATTCGTACTGTGGCTTTTTATTATTCTATGTAGAAGTCTAGAAGGCTAAATGGTTTTATAAATTAAAAAAAAAGGTTCGCTCTAGCAATACAGGAAATGAAAGTGAAAAACACTCCTTCGGATAGGGATGATTAATTTGTCACTCATTGGGATAGGTAGTGATGTGGGGTGACCCAACCCAGCCCATTCGAGGCTGGGAGGCCCAGCCCACGAGCGTCAGATTTGGGAATGAGATCCGCTATAGTAGGGGTTATTCTGCTCCCCTCGTATAGTGCCAGTCGTGGAGCACCCACGCGTCTCCGTAGAGCTCTCTGACTGTCTTCGTACGGCACCTATCTCAGGCGTTCATCTCCACCTACCTCTAGGCAAGTATAAATAGGGGTGCCCCCCTCCAGGTAAAAAAGAGGAATGGAATACAATCTACATCTAGATCTGGAATTGATTTCAAAAGCTATATTCTAGTTTCCCTCTTCATACCCCGTACTAACTTGATCATCAAAGACTCTGCCTCGGGTTCTCACTTGGGGCCTCTGACGTATTCTGCTTTGCAGCACCTCGACTGCCTACCTTTGGTTCCTATAGTATTCGAAGCCCTCTCTGCCCCAGCCTCAGTAGCTAGTTCTTCGAACCCTCGAAGCCTTCGGCCAGCCTTTGGAGTCTAGGGCAAAATTGTTTTGTTGTCCTCAGTCAATCCAAGCACCAACAATTGGTGCCGTCTATGGTAAATGTTTCTAAGACATTCCCTAAAAGAACTTTAACGAGCTAACAAGTCCCTAAGCTCCGACCAACCAACATGGTGCGAGGAACAAGAAATACACAAAATCTTGTGACCAATGAACAGTTACAGGTCGTGCTCGACCTCCTAGAGTACTTTGACACAGTGAGTCGAGAAGAACTACCCCCAGGCAAGAGGTCGCCCTTAGGGTGATCGCCTCGCCTGGGAGTCCACATAGTCGGGCTGGCATAGGTCCACCAACCAATCAGTCCCTAGTCACGGCCACGCACAGCGGGCAGAGCCCTCAGAGTCTGGTAGTAGTCGTCCAGCCGATTTGCTCTCCCGGACCTCTAGACCTCCCAGTCGAAGGGAGGACAACTCTAGACCTAGCTAAAGGGACGAAGAACTGGAACAATCGGAGGATAGCCATTAGCCCTCCGAGCAGCATCACCGACGCTGAAGAGCCAATCCGAAGGACGAAGGTGGACGCTGCGATCGCCCCAATGCCCATTCCAGGGCTGAGGGCTGGCGTCGAGCCTCTTCCCCTCACATGTCGGACCTCCGGGACGTCTTGAATGACCGCCGCGCAAAGCGCGAAGCACGCTGTCTCAACTCTGAGCACTCCGAAGCCTGTGCCGAGCACCATCGTGTCCCTGAAGACCGGGATGGCGCGTAGGCCATGCTCGACCCCATGTTCTCTGAACTTCGAGTCGAGCTTGGTGTTGTCAAAGCCGAGCTCTGACAGGTTAAGGAAGGCTGAACTGACACCTCGGCCGGACAAAGCAACTGCCCGTGGAGAATGGATGCCTTCTCCCTTGACATCATCGTCGAGCCTCTATCTCCAAACTTCAAAGCTCTTGCCTTGGAGATGTATGACGGGAACACTGACCCGGACGACCACCTGGAGAGCTTCAGGGCGCTCATGATCCTGTATGGATATTATGACGCCTTGACATGCTAGACTTTCCAGGCAACCTTCAAGGGAGCCACTCGGCGGTGGTTCTCAAGCCTCCCACCCTAATCCATTAACTCGTGGGAGTAGTTTTCCAGCATGTTCCTCGCTCGCTTTGTCAGCAGTCGACGCCCTCAGAAAAGCATTGTCTCGCTGATGACTGTCAAGCAGAAGCAAGGAAAGAGTCTGCGGTCATACATCAACTGCTTCAAGAAAGAAGAACTCAAGGTCCGCGACCTCGACCCCCTGGTGTCCATGCATGCTGCCATCAGTGGGCTCCTCCCCAGCTTGGCCCTCAAATGCTCCGTTGATTAAAGCCAGCCAAAGACGAAGTTGGAGTTCCTAGAAAGGGCCCAGAAATACATTGTTGGGTCGAAGAGGCTTTGGCTACGGACGCCCATGAGAGAGGCACAGAGCACCGGGATGGAGCCCCCGAGAAGAAGAGGAAGAACAGAGACCAGGGTGGCAGTAACAACATCAACAACAGGAAGCCACTAGCCTCGTCCTTGGCTTACAATCAATACACGCCATTGAACTCCACCCGCACACAAATTCTGATGTAGATCGTGCAGGAGAAATTTATGAAGTGGCTTGAAAAGTTGAAGAAGAATCCCCGTCGGGGGAACCCCAAAAAATATTGTAAGTTCCACCGAGGTACCGGGCACGACACCGAGGACTGTTATGATCTTAAAAATGAGATAGAGTCCCTCATTCGTCGGGGGCACCTTAAGTAGTACGTTGGAGGCGAGGCTGGCGCCTTGTCCTCTCAGCAGCAACAGCAATACCAACAAGCAGCAAGCGTCATCGATGTCATAGTGGGAGGCACGGCTTCGGGTGGAGCCTCAGCCTCGGCTCGCAATGCCTACGCCAAGCAACTGAACATCCAGGGGCCGACCCCCAAGAAGCAGAAGCAAGAACCCCTCTTTTTCACGGATGAGGACCTGAAGGGGGTAGTAGTCCCCCATGACGACGCATTGGTGGTTTCGGCCGTCATTGCAAACTTCGTAGTCAAAAGGATCCTTGTTGATAGTGGCTCTTCAGCCAACATCCTTTTCTACAAAACTTTTGAAAAGATGAAGATAGCTCCGGAGCACCTCCAACCAGTATATGCCCCACTAGTCGGCTTCTTTGGCAGCATCATCAAACCAGAGGGCAAGATTCCCCTACCAGTCACAGTAGGGACAGAGCCCCAGTAGGTAACAAGGATGACAGAGTTTTTGGTTGTGAAGATTGGCTCACCCTACAACGCCATCATGGGGAGACCAACTCTTCACATACTCTAGGCAGCCATCTCCTCCTACCACCTCGCCTTGAAGTTACCCACCGAGCACAGCGTCGGAGTTGGTCATGGGGAGTAGCATGCCGCCCGTCAATGCTATGTGGCAGTGCTGAAGGGCAAGAATAAAGAAGCTCTGCCACTAAAGGGTCTCGACCTCAGGGAGGAGCCAGCGAGCCAAGGCCAGCCGGCCGAGGACCTTGTCTCGGTCCCCCTAGATGAGGATGAGCCCAACAAGGTAGTCCACTTCGGGTCCAACCTTCCCCTCAAGAGCCTATCCGAACTAGTAAGTTTCCTCAGACTCAATGCCGACATCTTTGCTTGGTCCGATGTTGACATGACCGGAATTGACCCTTCAGTCATTACACATAGGCTGAGTGTGGACCCAAGCTCTAGGCCAGTTTGGCAAAAGAAGAAGAACTTTGCACCGGAGCGTTGGAAGGCAATAGAGGAGGAAGTTGAAAAGTTACTCGACATCAACCTCATCCGAAAGGTATACTACCCTATCTGGTTGTCAAATGTGGTGATGGTAAAAAAGCTAATGGGAAATGGCAGATCTGTATTGATTTCATAGACCTTAACCGAGCCTGCCCCAATGACAACTTTCCTTTGCCAAGGATAGACCACCTCGTTGATGCCACTGTAGGGTATGAGCTACTTAGCTTCACAGATGCCTTCTCTGGATACAATCAGAGAAAGATGCACCCAGATGATGAAGAAAAAACCTCGTTCATCACTGAACATGGCACATACTGCTACCGTGTGATGCCCTTCGGCCTCAAGAATGCTAGGGCCACCTACCAGTGCCTTGTCAACAAGGTGTTCAAAGAACAGATGGGGAGGAATGTCGAAGCCTATGTGGATGACATGGTAATGAAGAGCCTGAAAGCCGAGACCCACGTCTCGGACCTAGCCGAGACCTTCGACACCTTGCAGAAGTATAACATGAAATTCAACCCCAGCAAGTGTGCCTTCGGTGTCACATCAGGCAAGTTCTTAGGTTTCGTCGTCACTCAGAGAGGCATTGAGGCTAATCCTGAGAAGATACATGCCATACTAGACATGACACCCCCGCAGACGGTGAAGGAGACCCAAAAACTTACTAGCCGAATAGCAGCCCTCAATCGCTTCATGTCAAAGTTTGTCAACCGCTGCCTACCTTTCTTTTGTGCCATCAAGAAGTTGAAAGAGTTCCAATAGACGGAGGAGTGCCAGCGCGCCTTTGACGAGCTCAAGGCATACCTTACTTTGCCTCCCCTCCTCACTCAGCCGGCCGAAGGGGAAACCCTGTACCTGTACTTCTCAGCTAGGGATGAAGTAGTTAATTCAATCCTCATCAAGGAAGATGGCGTGCAGAAGCTAGTGTACTATGCTAGCAAGGTCCTCTACGACGTCGAGACTACCACCCGAGGTAGAGAAGTTGGCTTTCGCCCTTGTAGTTCCAGCAAGGAAACTTCGGCCATACTTCCAGGCCCACATTATAGTGGTCCTGACGAACTAGCCCTTCAAGGTTGTCCTCGCCAAGCTCGAGACCTCGGGGCGCCTGACGAAGTGGGCCATCAAGCTGTTTGAGTTTGACATCCAGTACTAGCTGAGGCCCGCGATCAAAGCACAAGCTCTGGCAGATTTCATAGTGGAGTGCACCTTCAGCCGAGCCCTTCGCCAGCCCCCAAAAAATGCTGAGGGGGATCATGTGGACGGCGAGATTCAACCCCGATGGAAGCTTTTTGTTGACGGCTCCTCCAATGCTAAAGGAAGCAGAGCGGACCTCATCCTCCTCACCCCAGATGATGTCACCCTGGAGTATGCGCTAAGGTTTGACTTTCCAGCATCAAACAACGAAGCCGAGTACGAGGCCCTCCTCGCTGGTCTGCAGCTTGCTAGGGACCTCGACTCCTCATACGTTGAGGCCTTCAGCGACTCTCAACTGGTGAATCAAGTGAACGGTGAGTATGAGGCTAGGGAACAAAGTATG